AAACTATATTTCCCTTTATGAACATAAAATTAAGGAACTAAAGGGATTTTTGAAGTAGAATACCTATGTATATTGTTTATATGCAGTTTAAAATGGCTTCATCTTGAAAGATAAGCTATTCTTTTGGGATATTTTCAATGAATAAAACAAAAATTTATTAATTTCTATTTATTTGTTGGAAATTTCTTTGCACAGAAAAATAAAATAATTTTTTTTTGAATAATTGAAATTGATCAACAATTTACATATGTTTTAAAAATAAGTTTATTCACTGATCTCCTCATATTTTTTATAAAGCTGAAATTATTTAAAACTAAAATTATATTTAGGGATAAAGTTTGAAGAAAATTTTGACCCCTTTAAAAGGTCAATGAAAAAAGGCACCTCACCCATAATTATTGTAATAACAACATTAAGTCAATTTTCCTTAGCCAATTTTTTATTAAATTTATTTACAAAATATAGGATAAATTTGGTCGACTATTTTGTCATATCTTGTAATATTTTGAATTTACTTTTATATAATATGAACCAAATAATATTTTATAATGAAAAAATATTCTAATTACATTGAGGTTAATTACTTAATTTTTTAAGTATTTAAAAATAAAATATTTCCAAAAACTTGCGGGAGGTGAGATTCGAACTCACGACTTTCAGATTATGAGACTGACGCGCTAACCAACTGTGCCACACCCGCTTAAAAACAGTTACAAGCACTTGTAAAACAGGATAATAAAATTGATAAATTAAAGCAAAAAAGCAATTGCGAATTTCATCAAAAAAATAAACCATTTAGTCAATAAAATGCCTTAATAAAAAATCTTTATTTTAAATTTTAATCTAACCCATGACATTTCCTTTCAATAATAAGAATAAATACATCGCAACATCACCTGCAAAGATAATTCTTTTTGGAGAACACTCTGTACTCTATGGCTCCAAATGCATTTCTATAGCTATCAAAAAACATGGAAAAGTAAATAGCATCCCGGGAAAAGGGAAAATTATTTGCAAAGACAGCACGGGGAAAATGGCGGTGTTAAATGAAGTGCTAGACTTTAAGTTTGTTAATAGTGATGTTATTATTGAACTAGAAATGCCTATGGGTAGTGGTCTTGGCACTTCTGCAATTACATGTCTTTTAATTTCAGCGATGATCTCAGTTAATGATAACGATCCGCCTTACCAAAAAGAGAAAGTACATGAAGGGTTGTCAGTTTTAACAAGAAGAGCGATTAATTTAGAGCATGTTTTCCATGGCAAGAGCTCTGGGACAGATGTGATAACAAGTTTGTTTGGAGGGTTGATCTGCTATCAGGATAAGTTGGTCCGAAGAATGGATGATTCACACATAACAAAGTACAAGATTATAGTATGGAACTCTGGAATACAAAAGAAAACTTCAGATTCTTGCAAGCTTAAAACAAACACCCATAAAAAGCTTTATGATATTGCTGAAGAGGCATACGAGATTTTATCTGATTCCTTTACCTTAAAAGAGTTTTATGATTTGGTCAGAAGAAGCCAAGATTGCTTAGAAGAACTTGTTAAAGTACCAGAGGAAATGAAGACGGAAATTAGGAGACTAAGACGTTTTAACATTGAAAGCAAAATCAGTGGATCAGGAAATGGTGGACATTTAGTCACATTAATAAATAAAGATGAAAATGTTAATGGATGGGAAGAGGTGGAAATTGATTATGAAGGATTTCACTTTATGAAGTAAATTTATGTTTAAAAAAGATTTATATAAACTTTATAATGTAAATTTAGTTTTTGTTGTAAGATTATCATTAAATTAGATTTTAAGAATGTTTAACAAATATTTATAATTTTTAATTTAGAAATATTTTTATATTAAAAAATAAAATAGTGTTACTGATATAATATAATTAAAAAAGTATAATTATTTAATTTAAAAAATTTTTATTGGTATCAGAAAATAAAATAATAAAAAATACATTTTTACTAATCAATTGTCAAAAATAATACATTTTAAAATATTGTCATTCTAGGGAACTTTAATATTTAAGTATAATTAGAATTTTCCTTAGCTAATAATCAATTTACACTGGCTTTGAATTGATTAATTAATATTTAAAAATTTTTTATTAATTAAAATTTTAAACATTTCTCATTTTAAAAAATATTTTATGTACTTACTATTTTTCTCAATATTTTAGATATTGTGATTTCTATTGCACTAATATGATGCTTAATAGTTTGTATATTATTTACTCTGCAATATTTATATAATATTCTTATTAATCATCAAATCTGATCATAGCAAGAATAATTTAATTAATCTTCTTAATTAAATTTAAATAATATTATTTAAATTTATCATTAAACTCAAATTAAAAGTTTAATACAGTCTGTAACAAAAAAATTGGACAAAAAATATTTAATAACAAATCACAATAATTGTTATTTTGATGTAAATAGAAATAATGTTAGCTTAAAACCATAAAATATCTTTTTTTCTTTTTTGGGATAGTTTTAAT